GTTTTTGGCCGGGGCCGGGTTTGAACCCACCACCTCCGATATATGGGGCTGGCACCCTACTCTTTTGAGCCACAGGCACCGCCCTGGATGGTTTCATTTTTATCACCACCCCCAGGAGGTAGGTAGCATTGTTCCCATTTAGGAAGAGACACAACTGAGCCTAAGAGGCTGTCACTTGTCCAAGGCCACTGAGCACGTAAGTGGCAGAACTAGGACTGGGACTTCAGTTCTTAATGCTTTGCCTCTTTGCCTTTAGAGTCCATTCCCCAGTTAAACATGCCCGTCCCCACCTCCTCTCAGATGCTTCCGAGTGGTTCCTGTAGCTCCACGTGCCCTGGGCTGGAGCCATCTGCGCTCTCCATCTCTGGGTGTTTGGCCAGTCTCTCCCTTGACTGTCTCAAGGAAAGGGCTACACCCAGCCCCCAGGCCCTATCTTTGCACCTAACCTCTTTTAATCTATTCTCCACAAGCTCAGAAAATGTGTGTTCTATGACCTGCTCTGTCCTAGCCAGATCCATCCCCAGTTTCCTTGATCCCTTGGTTGACCAGATGGCCAGTAATTGGCCAGCGGCACAAGGGTATTTAGGGTGGTATTATTATTATACAATAGAAAGAAAAAGCACCCCTTTTTAGTAAGCTTGGGGTCTGGGGCACCTGATTTGGGTCAGCCAATCTCAACTTGAAATTTGAATCGAGTGCAATTCTAAGTAGGAGCTCTGAGGGCAAAAATCTATGGTATCCTGATGAGTCCCTGGGATGTGCTCAGAGCTTAATAGCTCGGTTGGCAGGGTTATTATTAGCAAAGAGGATTCATCGAGCAGCCACCGTGGGGGGAACTCATGCTCCTTGCCGCGTGCGTCACACGCTGGTCTCCTGGAATCGCCCTTTAAGACAGGCCTTTGATGCAAGCCAAGACTTCTGTGGCAGGTGGCCTCTGAGGGCTGCTGCTCCTCTGTCCTCAGCCACTTCTGAGGTCCGTAGGTGGCCCAAAGAGAAGCAGAAGTCCCGCCCCAGCTTCCAGAAAGAGAATTTCAGAATCTGCCCACCTGTTTTTCTTCAAGCCACATTTCCTTTTCCAGAGTGAAACTGGAGCGGGACATGTTGAGTTTCTTCTGTTAGGACTTAGCGGGGGCAGGAAGGAGAAAAGATGCCCAGTTGTGCTGCCCTGAGGCCCAGCGAAAACACAGGCAATCCTCAAAGGGACTTCCTTGAATCTTAGTAAAGAGTTTCTCTTCACTTCCCTGCTTCTGCCCAACTATGGGGGGGGGTGGGGGTGGAGGGTCTAATCCTCACGGGGTGTTTGGAACCCAGGGGCTCAGGAGAGAAGAGCAACGAGCCCAGAGGCCAGGCCCACCTCCCACCCCCACCACTCCCACTAGCTGAAAAATCAAAGCCTTTATTTCCTTATTACAGGAGAGAAGTTGTCCAAGTCATATGATGGAAAGAGCATTGCAAACGGGCAGGAGAATCTGGAATTGGGGGAATCTCCCGTTTCTAGCCTAGAGTTTGGTTTTCTGACTCTCCATGGTGATGCCGTGGGCTGCTGCAGGGAGGCCTGGAGTATGCAAGGTCCCCTGTGTGCAGAACTGGCCAAAAACCCTGTCACATTCACAGCGTGATTCTGTTGGACCCAAACAGTCTAAAGCAGAAGCCCCAAATGGGAGTAATTACTAAGACACTTATACACATAGCTCAGTGCCTGTGGCTTAAGTGGCTAAGGCACCAGCCGCATATACCTAAGGTGGCAGGTTCGAATCCAGTCCGGGCCGCCAAACAACAATGACAGCTGCAACCAAAAAATAGCCGGGTGTTGTGGCAGGTGCCTGTGGTCCCAGCTACTTGGGAGGCTGAGGCAGGAGACTCGCTTGAACCCAGGAGTTGGAGGTTGCTATGAGCTGTGCTGCCATGGCACTCTACCCAGGGGACAGCTTGAGGCTGTCTCAAAAAGAAAACAAAAAAAAGACACTTATACACAGTTGTATACACAGTTTTAGAAAGGAAAAAATTGTATTAAAGTCGTAATACTCTCTGGGAGTCTGAGGCGGGTGGATTGCTTCAGTTCAGGAGTTCAAGACCAGTCTGAGCAAGAGTAAGACACCATCTCTACTAAAAGTAGAAAAACTAGCCAGGCATTGTTGTGGGCACCTGTAGTCCCAGACAGGAGGCTGAGGCAAGAGGATCTCTTGAGCCCAACAATTTGAGGTTGCTGTGAGCTATGATGAGGCCAACAGCACTCTACTGAGGGCAGAGTGAGACTTTGTCTAAAAAAAAAAAGTTTTAATACTCAAGATATACCAATAACATTTGTTATCTTTTTTTGTTTGTTTGTTTGTTTTTGAGACAAAGTCTGTCTCATTATGTCACCCTCGGTAGAGTGCCATGGCATCACAGCTCACAGTAACCTCAAAATTTGGGCTTAAATGATCTCTTGCCTCAGCCTCCCAAGTAGCTGAGACTACAGGCACCTGCCACAATGCCTGGCTATTTTTTTGTTATAGTTATCATTGTTATTTTAGCAGACCCTAGCCAGGTTTGAACTCACCAGCCCTGGTGCATGTGGCTGGTGCCCTAACCACTGAACTACAGGCGCCAAGCCAACATTTATTGTATATTTTCTTGTAATTGCAGAAGTCAAAAGTGACTCAAGTATGTCACTAATATAGTTTTTACCTATCCTAAAATGTGTATGGATTTGTCGGCACCCTCGTATTTAGAGATGATTGTTTCTGACTTTGAAAACAGTTATTGGCTCGGCGCCTGTGGCTCAAGTGGCTAAGGTGCCAGCCACATATACCCAATGATGGGTGCAACCAAAACAACAACAATGATGGCTACAACCAAAAAATAGCCGGGCGTTGTGGCGGGCGCCTGTGGTCCCAGCTACTTGGGAGGCTGAGGCAGGAGACTCGCTTGAGCCCAGGAGTTGGAGGTTGCTGTGAGCGGGATGTCATGGCACTCTACCCAGGGGGACAGCTTGAGGCTGTGTCTCAAAAAAAAAAAGAAAGAAAGAAAACAGTTATTTGTTTCTTTGGTACAATATGGAAGTCACTGGCAGCTGCAAGTTGGGCACAGGTAAGAGCAGAGCTAACAGAATCTGTCCTAGCCGCCCTGTGTAGGCCTTAGCCAAGCTGCGGGCGTTTCTGTTGTCTGTATGTTCCTCCCTTGACA